GCTCTTTCTAAAGGGTTGGACGAGTGCTTTGGCTGCTACGCTGGTTCCTGAAGGCACTTCCCTGTTTCAGGATGTCCCCGTTCCTTCGAGATCCTTGGGTTCGAAAACTGTTTCCATCCCTGCTGCTCTTCCAGCTGAAGTTTCCCCAGAAACTAATTCTGCAAGCAAGACCCAGGACAGTAATGTTGCCGCTGAAACGGTGGATGTTGAAGGGATTGAAACCCTAGAGACCGAAGCCGTGGGAGATGTGGTTAAGGAGGCTTCTACTTCTCAAGAAGTTGGAGCTGCCTCCACTTTTCCTCCCACAGACGGCCTGGACAAAATTGCTAATGATGCTCCTGAGTTGCCCTCTGTTAATGAAAATTGATGTTGAAAGGATTTGAACTTTTTTTGCTTTTCTATTTTGATGTATTGTGGCTCGGTCTCCATGACGAGCTTTCTTTCTGCACTTGCCAAGACAATTTTTCTTTTCTCTTTTCTTTTCTTTGCTGCTGGTTATGAGGCCATCTGTGCCTTTTGTTGGATGATAGAATTTTCTTTGTGAACTTGCAATCTAATGTTATTTGAATGTTTTCTATACTGCCTGCCCCTGGCCGAGCACTGTTGGGACCTCGGGGCTGAATAGATGCTCGGTCTGGTTCTGTACTGCTTTTAAATGGATGTTCTGTCTGATTGTGTACTACTTGCCCCCGGCCGAGCATTGTTGGGGCCTCAGGGCCGAACTGATGCTTGGTGTGGCATTGTACTGTTTGTCCCCGGCCGAGCACTGTTGGGACCTCGGGGCCAAACCGATGCTCGGTGTGGCTGACGGATATGTGGTATGGCTGTGCTTGAGTTCGTAAGTGGGTCTTACTTAGGTCCAGGTTGGTTTTGAAAGAAAACAATTGTTTGCCCCCACCTGGAGCTAAGTAAGATCGGTACTGAAGATTGTGCCCTTGTGTAGAACTGCTTGAGTCTGTTTCAACTTAGATAGCATAGGTGCATTTGAATGCGATAAAGGCATGAAGAGGTGTCTTACTCAGGTCCAGGTTGGTTTTGAAAAATAATTGTTTGCCCCCACCTGGGGTTGAGTAAGACTAATGCTGGAAGTTTACTTCTGATAGAACCTGGGCATGCTTGTTCCAACTCTGTTTGTTTGAGTCAGTACTGAAGTGTCGACGTGTTGGTACTTAAGGAGTTCTGTGGATTCAAAGACGTTTACTTAAGATATGTTAGTGTGGTTTCCACCAAGCAATTCCACTTGGCTAAAGTCTAATTTAGTTGCCAAACATTATTCCACCGAGCAATACCACTTAGCATGTTTGAGTGCTAACCAAATTTATATTTCGTCCAGTCGTTCTGAAACTAAGTCCATTTGGGCAAAGACCAAAGTTAATTTCGTTTGATAAACATCAAAGCTAATTCTGTTTGGTGAGGACCAAAGCTAATTTCGTTTGATAATCATCAGAGCTAGTTCCGTTTGGTAAGAACCAAAGCTAATTCCGTTTGGTAAGAACCAAAGCTAATTCCGTTTGATAAGCATCAAAGCTAATTCCGTTTGGTAAGAACCAAAGCTAATTCCATTTGATAAACATCAAAACTAATTACAAGAATTTGATAAATTTGAGAAAAGTGGGGAAGCATTTGCATTGGTCAACAGATAAATGCCTTTACATTCTGATAGAGAAGTTGGGGGATAATTCTATTGATAGTATTTCTTGAGATTTGCTACGTTCCAGGGCCGAGGTATAGCTCTGCCTTTCAGATCCTCTAGGTAGTAAGCTCCATTTCCAACAACAACTGTGACTTTGTAGGGACCTTCCCAGTTAGGCCCAAGTTTGCCCTCGCCTGGCACCCTTTGGTGATCCATAACTTTCCTCAAAACCAGTTCTCCTGGTGTAAATTGCCTTGGGAAAACTTTTTGGTTGAAACTTCTGATGAGCTGTTGCTGATACGCTTCAAGTCTGATCAGCGCTGCCTCTCTTCGGCCTTCTGCCATATCTAGTGCTTGTGCAATAGCTTCCTTGTTACTGGTGCTCTCAAACAATTCAAACCGAAGGGTTAGGAGGCCAACTTCAAGTGGGATGATGGCCTCCATTCCATAAGTTAACGAGTAAGGTGTTTTCCCCGTTGATCGCCGTGATGTGGTTCAGTATGCCCATAGCACATGGGGTAACTCTTCAACCCATTTTCTTTGGCATGTTCAAGCCGTTTCTTTACTTCGTTGATGATGGTTTTGTTTGAGGCTTCTGCCTGTCCATTGCTTTGCGGGTACCTTGGAGAAGAGTTCCTATACTCGATCCTGAGGTCGGCATAAAACTTTCTGAAGATCTTTCCATCGAACTGCGTTCCATTATACGCAATCAGTACTCGCAGGATGCCGAAATGCACCACCACGTTTCTCATGACAAACCGCTTACTTGCCAGCGCCTCAACTTCAACCCACTTGGTAAAATAGTCAGTTGCAGCAATGAAGAATTGTTTGTTCCCAGTGCCTCGCACCAATGGTCTGACAATATCCAGACCCCATTGCGCAAAGGGCCATGGGCTGGTGAGTGGAGTGAGAGTTTTGGCTGGCTGATGAATGAGTGGAGCAAACCTCTGACATTTGTCACACTTCTGTACATACTGCTACGCATCTTGTTGCATCCGTGGCCACCAGTACCCGTGAGTGAGGGCTCGATGTGCCAGTGACCTTCCGCCAACGTGGCATCCACAAATCCCATTGTGAATTTCGTAGAGAACATTCTCGACCAGATTTGGATGCACATATAGAAGGTAGGGGCCACGATAGGAGCGTCTGTAAAGCTTCCCAGATGGTGAGATCCAGAACCGAGCTGACTTATGTCTGACCTTGTTGGCTTCCCTTTTGTCTTTGGGAAGTGTACCAGATTTCAAAAAAGCAAATATCGGATCCATCCAGCTCGGCTCTAAATTGTTACAGAGGACTGGAGATGCAATACTTGGTTCTAGTACAAACTCAACCCAAACTTTTCTGGCATCCTTCGTATCCACTGATGAGCCGAGGCATGCCAGAGCATCAGCGTGGCTGTTTTTGTCCCGATTGATTCGTTCCACTCGTATGGATTGAAATTTTCTGAGTAGGACCTTGGCCTTACCTGTGTACATAGCCATTCTTTCATCTCGTGTTTCATAAACCCCAAAGAGCTGGTTTACCACTAGTTATGAATCGCTGAAAACATGAAGTTGTTCTGCACTGAAGTGTTCGGTGCTACGTAAGCCAGCTAATAACGCTTCGTAATCGGCCTCGTTGTTTGAAGCCTTCCAACCGAGCCTGAGAGCATGTTCCCAGATAAATCCTTCTGGTGAGATAAGCACTACTCCTGCCCCCGAACCTCGGTTATTGGACGACCCGTCAACATAGAGCTGCCAAATGTTTCCAATGAAGAGTTTTCAGGCTTCTGAAGCGCAGGGCTTTCCTTGTTCGATGATACGTGGTGCTTGTGCCGAACTCGGATTCCCTAGTTCGGTACTCTGGATGGGAGCAAATTCTGCGACAAAATCCGCTAAGACCTGGGCCTTGATCGCTGTCCTGGGTTGATACCGAATGTCAAACTCACCAAGTTCTACTGCCCACTTTGCTGTTCGGCCAGAGAAATCGGCTTGGCTGAACATAGATCTGAGGGGGAATTCAGTGAGAACGTTAATGGTATGCCCCTGGAAGTAATGTTGCAACTTTCTTGAGGGGATAAGCAGCTCGTATGCTAACTTTTCCAACGGTAGATACCGTGTCTCAGCATCTTGTAAAGTCTTGCTGACATAATAGACAGGCCTCTGTTCCTTATCAACTTCTCGAATTAATACTGCACTTATGGCATGATCTGAGACTGCTAGATAGAGGTACAGCTCCTCTCCTGGCTCTGGAGTGGACAGAAGCGGGGGTGTACCGAGGTATCTTTTGAGACTTTGTAGTGCTTCAGTACATTCGCTATTCCATTCAAATGCTACCTTTTTCCTCAAAAGCTGGAAGAAGGGCTTCATCCGATCTGAGGATTTGCTAATAAACCGATTCAGTGCGGCCGCCATTCCGGCTAGTTTCTGCGGCTCTTTAGCCTTTGTTGGTACTTCAAGATCCTGTATTACTCTAATTTGATCCGAATTTGCTTCAATTCCTCTGTGAGTGACCATGTATCCCAAGAACTTCCATGTTCCTACCCCGAAAGCGCACTTCGAGGCATTAAGGCGAAGCTGGTGGTTTTTTAGGATGCCAAAAACTTCTCTCAAGTCTGTGAGGTGGTTTGTAGCGAGCTTGCTTTTTACTACGATATTGTCTGTATAAGTTTCCATGGTTTTTCCCAGTTGGCCCTTGAACATACGAGTGATCATTCGCTGGTAGGTTGCCCCAGCGTTCTTGAGGCCGAATGGCATTACTTTGTAGCAGTAAGTTCCCTTTGGAGTGATAAATGCTGTCTTTTCTTGATCCGGACCGAACAGTGGTATCTGATAATAACCGCTATAAGCGTCCAGAAAGCTCATGCGCTCATGCCCTGCTGTTGAGTCTACTAGTTGATCAATGCGAGGCAGCGAAAAGCTATCTTTAGGGCAGGCTTTGTTCAAGCAAGTGAAGTCAACGCAAACTCTCCATTTTCCGTTCTTCTTCTTGGCTACAACTTTGTTAGACAACCATTGCGGGTACGGAATTTCTCTGATTGCCCCTGAAGCTAGGAGTTTTTCAACTTCGGCAATTACTGCTTCGGTGTGCTCAACCGAGGATCTCCAACTTTTCTGCACAATGGGCCGAGCTGAAGGGTTGATGTTGAGCTTGTGGCAAGCAAATTCTGGGTCCAACCCTGGAGTATCATATGCTGACCATGCGAATACCTCCATATTTTTCCTCAGCAGTTCCAGCAGCTGAAGTTTCTCATCAACGCCTAGCGAGGTACCGATAAGGAAGTACTTTTCTGGGTCATCCTCTTTTACAAAGACTTTCTCCAAATCCTCTACCATCTTTTCCTCTGGGGTTCCCCCTACATCTTCCAAGACTGGCTGTTCGGCCACTTCTACCGTCTGTACTCGATACAGAGCCGCTTTGCCTTTAATGCCGCCATGAAGCAATGTTTTGACGCAACTTGATCCCCTGAGATCTGCTCTACTCCGTGTTCCGTTGGGAAACGGATGAGCTGGTGGTAGGTTGAAGGGACCGCCTCCATTTGATGAATCCACGGACGGCCAAGTATGGCGTTGTAAGGGGATGGTGTATTAATAACCAAGAACTCTATCTGGAGGGTTTTTGCTCCTGCCACGACTGGCAACACTATTCTTCCAAGCGGCCATTCTGGCTGTGAATTGAAACTGACCAACGGGGCTGCCGCTGGGGTGAGTTGCTGCTCGGAGAGACCAAGCTTTCTGAACAAATCATAATACAATATGTCTCCTGCACTACCTTGATCTACTAGGACTCGTTTTACGTCAAACCGTTTTCCAATTCCCACAGTTATAATTAATGCATCAGTATGTGGGTGCTATATGCCTTCTAAATCTTTGCTAGTAAATGAAACAGTGCACAAGGGGAATTTAGGTACTGTACGTACCTTTTTCGATGCAGGCTCCACTGACATGACCCGCTGAATTTGCGCAGCCTTAGCGATCTCTTCCTTTAGTGCCTCCTTAGATTCCTAAGTCGCTGTCCCGTGGATCACATTTATTATCAGCCGAGGTGGATGCTCAATATTTGGTTCTAGCGGTGGGTTCCCCAGTTCGGCCACTTCCTTATCCTGATCAATGTAATCCCTTAGGTGCCCAGCTGCCACTAGGTCTTCCAAGTGTTGCTTCAGTGCCCTGCAGTTCTGAGTCATGTGCCCCCTGTCTTGGTGATAGGTGCATCTGAGCTTCTGATTGCGCCGAGCTGGATCTCCCAACATTTTCGGCGGCCAAACAAAGAAGGGCTCTCTCTTGATCTTTTCCAAGATTCGATAGATTGGCTCTTTGAATACAGTCACAACGGCTTCGTGGGATTTGGACTTATCCACTTCATTCACTGCAATCCCTCAGTGTTCTCCTCGATCTGTTCTCTTCTTGTGTCGAGCTGTTTGTTCTGCTGACGCTTCCTCGATGGGGATCTGATCGTCCTTGAGGCGAGCGTACTGCTCAATCCTGGCACGCAAATCTTTCAAAGCTGTGGCCGGGCGCTTGGTAAGTGATTGTCTCAGCTTACTTTCCGAGCGCAGACCATGTTTGAAGGACATAACGGCCATCTGTTCGCTACACACATTTTCCTCCAGGTCATTGTACTCTTCCCAGTACCTCCTAGCATAATTGCGCAATGTTTCCTCCTGCTCCTTTCGGAGGCCGAACAGTGTATCCGGCTCCTTCGGGATCTTAGTGTTGGAGACGAACCTGGCTAGGAACTTTTCGGAGAGCTGCTTCCAGCCATGGATCGATCCAGCAGGGAGACGATCGAACCATCGAAGTCCAGTTTCTCCCAAGCTAGATGAGAAGACTTTACACATCAGTGCCTCATCTCGGTTCCATAAGGACATCATCTGTCTATAATGGCTAATATGTGTCAGCGGGTCCAACTTCCCGTCGTATGAAGTGAACTTTGGTGGGGTGAATTTCTTTGGAGGTCTCATGGTCTCAATCTCCGGGGAGAATGGCGAAGAGACGAGCCTGTCCAGCACTCGGTGTTCTCTCTGGTGAACAGTACGATCTATGTGATCCCGATGTTATCCGTTCTGCCTATTGCCCATCAACCAAGTACAAAGGTCCTGAGGAGGGTATTCAGTCTGTTGGCTAACTGTCTTCTGCTTCTTGGCCCTTCTCTGGCATGACCCACGGGTGTGACTGCTTGCTGCCTCACCCTGTATCGGGATAGGCTGGCTTTGTTGCCCAAACTCATTCTTGGGGAACTTCTTCATTGGTGGCTCTCTGGATAAGCTCCTCCGTCGCAACCGAGAGGGCTCCGCTTCCATTTTCTTTTCCATCGGATCGCCCAGCACCCTCTTAAGTTGGGCTTTCAACTCCTGTATCTCCATCCCCATAGAGTCTATGATGCGATCTCTATAATCCTTTTCCAAAAGAAAGTGATGAGAAGAACCTCCAACGAAGGGTAGTCGGTGCTCGACGGATTCGAGGGTTCGATTATTGTTTCCAGTTTGCTCCTCTGGGACTGTTGAGAGTGCCAAACCTTTGTCCTTCGTTTTCTCTGTCTGTGGAGTATGTGTCGACGGCGGAATGTCCTCAATCCCCATTGCCGGAACTGAGTGCAGAGCTCAAAGATGAAGTAATCCACGTTCACCGCACCAATTGTGCGTGCTGAATTTCGCACTAGATGAAAGTGGATCAAGGCTCCGCACTCGGTTGGACTATCCAGGGACTGAGGTTCCTACCACAAAAAACACCATTAGAGCTGCCCGGCCGGGGTTGGCCGGATAACCCCTCCGGTGTGGGAATTACCAATCGAAAAAAAAATGTATAGAGAGTTGAGTTTGTATCTAAGTGTGATCTTGCTTGGAATAGTTCAGTTACCTTCAACATGAAGTTCATGTAGTATATATAGGGTTCCTTGCTTGCTTCTCAAGATGGGTTCATGGAGCTTGGATGCCGCCAGGTGTCCTTGTAGCATTGGTCAAGGTGGGGGACCACCTGGTAGTTGTCATTGAATGCATATACTCATTGTAGTCATGCTGATAACAAACCACATTGTTGGTTCAACAACTTCCGTGATTCTAGGTGCAGGGGACCAGCTGAGGTGGCAGCTTGCACATGCACACGTTCATAACTTCCACGTTTTCCTGTGAGGTTCCCTCTGCTCGGTATCTTAGTACCTCGGCTCGACCTTATTCAAAGCTTCCGTTAGGATGGGCTGGTCTATTCGAATATCTTAGTGTGGGCTCGGCCCACATCTGTTCGGTCCAAAGGTTCGGTCTTGCAGCTCGGCCTAGCCCAGCGTCGCAGCTGGACTAGCCTTTCTACTGCGGGTTGGGTCCAAGTGCTTGAGGACTTGGGTAGACTATTGATCATGGAGTTGGGCTCAATTGGCTTGCCCATATATTCATCTAATCCATTTGAACTTGGGCTTTATTAGATTGGGCCGGCCCAAGGCTTGGATCCGACCCATTTCATATTCAGCCCCTTCAGTGATGATTTGATGTTATTGTTGCACTAAATTTTTTTAATAATGTGTTTTGTTGTAATTTTTTCATTTTCAATCAAAACAACCATCATTATTTTTGTAATTTGAAAATTTTAATTAAGAAATCATTCTAAATGTTATTTCTATATAAATTTTTTATTGGTCAATTATTTTCCTTATATGCAACAAATAAATAAATAATTAAAAATTGCAAAACTTAAGAGGGGGCACGTGCCCCCTAGTCCCTTCATAGCTCCGCCACTGACGCCTTCCAAGCAATTGTGTCGAAGATTGAGGTACTCGAGATGGTTAAAACTGTACAACCAATTTGGAAAAGTAGACTCAACAAAATTTCCAGGAAAATTGAGATCTTTATGACTAGTCATGTTCTAAAGACCAATTGGAATTGGTCCTTGAATATTATTGTAGCCTAAGCGTAGTGAAATGAGGCAACTGAGGTTAAACAACCATTTGGGCAATGAGGAATTTAGATTATTCAAAGAAGAGGAAATGTCATTTTGCCCCTCAAACTATCACGCGTTTTTCACGTTGACCCCTAGGCTTCAATTAATATCAATTTTATACGCAAACTTTCAAATTTTTGATTAATTTAGCCCCTGCTATCACATTCTGTCTACAATTGGACGTAATGTGCTGATGTAGCACCAAAGTTCATTTAAAATTTCATTTTAACCCCTAAACTATACCTTAAAAATCAATTTGCTCCCCAAACTATACTTTAAAAATCAATTTGCCCCACACATCAGCACATTCCGTCCAATTGTGGACCGAAGGTGACGGCAGGGGTCTAATTGATCAATTTGTGAAAAGTTCAGGTACTAAATTGAAATAAGTCGAAGTATGGGGGTCAACGTGAAAAACGCGTGATCAAGGTTTTAAAAAGCAGCTGCAACCGTTACATAATGCCGTTACATAACGGTTGTGGTGGTTACCGCCATTTGTTACGGCCGTTTTTGGGGTGTGATTGAGATTCACGGGTGTATTGATCGTAGCGGCTGCTGTAGCGGTCGTAACGGCTGTAACGGCCTGTTACGCACTATTACGTTACGATTTTGAATTGCTTTTTTTGAAAAAAAACAAAAAAAAAAAGGTGAAAATAGGAGAAGAGGGATATAGAGAGAAGAGGGAAAATGGAGGAGTAAGAGATAGAGAGAGAAGAGAGAAGATAAAGAACATGTTATTGATTTGTTGAAGTTGTAAGACCTATCCTATTCTATTCAGCTGCTATCACTCAACCATTTTATTTGTGTGTGTCTATCTATATATTGTTTGAATCTATTTGGCTTGATTAATATATATATATATATATATGCTCTTATTTTTTCTCTTACTTTTGTCATTGTTTATCTTATATATAATAGTCAGTGATTGATTTTTTTGTAAAATATCTAGAAAACATAACACCTATAATCATATATTGATACATATTTTATACATGTCCATTTTTTTTTAATTAGTTTATTTTATTTTTATTTACAGGTTATCCAAAAAGAAAATGAATATTCAAGTGATCCAAACCAAAAAAATAATAATAATTAATAAATAAAAATAAAATAAAAAATTATTTATAATTTATTTTTTAATTTTTATATGATTACATTAGCATGTATAATTTATTTTTTAAAACTATTCAAGTTAAAATTTGCATATACTTCCACAAGTATAATAATTAAAAAAAATAATTTTATACATCTAAATCCAATAATTTGTTTTTTGTGCCACATGCATATATATATATATATATTTGCCACAAGCGGTATATGGATTTATAACATATAAAGTCATTAATTATTAAAATAAAATGTAAAAAACTTAGTTTATTGTGATTTAAAAATATGAAATATATTACATCATATTAAAAAATTTATAAAAATTTATCAATATTTATTTTAAAACCCAATAAATATGATTATGGAAAAAACAATATGCGTATCAGTAAGTTTTTTCAAATTGTGCAAAAAATTTATAAAAAAAATCACAGTTCTAGTTACTGCAACCGGTACGCTACGGCCTTTACACCCAACAACCGCAATCGCGCCACCGCCACCGTTATGGCGACCGCAACCGCTTTTCAAAACCTTGCGCGTGATAGTTTGGGAGGAGGAAATGATATTTCATCTTCAAATAAGCATCAAACACTCTGAGAGAGTCATGTTTTGAAAACCACTAGGAATCAGACCATATAAGTCACATCCACTAATATCTAAGGAAACTAGACCATTCATACAGAAAATCCACCTAGGTATAAAAGACCCAAAATTGTTTTCAGAAAGGTCAAGCAAGGCAAGTGATGTGAAGTTAATGTTAACTGAAGGAGAAACATATTTAAGTTCACATCTATACACAGTGGGTATTTCTAGTCTCAAACAGTTTCTCCATCGCCAGTTGGAGATGAAATATTTGGGTGCACTTAGCTACTTCCTTGGCTTGGAAATTTCTCAAGATTCCTCTGGTTGTTTTCTTACCCAGGCCAAGTATACTTTTGATCTCTTGGCTCGTGCTAGCCTTACTGATTGCAAGACTGTCACTACTTTAGTTGATCCTCAGACTTGTCTTACACCTCTTGATGGCCCCCTATTGTCTGATGCCACTTTATATCGTCAGCTAGTTGGTAGTCTTGTCTATCTCACAGTTACTCGTCCAGATATTACTTATACTGTTCACATTATCAGTCAATTTATGACTGCTCCTCGCTTTCCGCACTATACTGCTATGGTTCACATTTTGCGCTATCTTAAAGGAACTTTGTTTCATGGTCTTCACTAATCCCCTCACTCTTCTCTATAGCTACATGCCTTTTCTGATGCCGATTGGGCAGGGGATCCTACTAATCGTCGTTCCACTACTGGGTTTTGCTTCTTCTTGGGCAACTCCCTCATTTCCTAATGTAGCAAGAAGCAAACCCTTGTTGCTCGAGCTCGTTCTAGTACCGAGGCTGAGTATCGTGCTCTTGCTGACACTACTCAGGAGCTTGTGTGGTTTCGTTGGCTTCTTTCTAACATGGGTGTTTCCCATTCAGCTGCCACCAATCTTTATTGTGACAATCAAAGTGCTATTTAGATTGCCCATAACGATGTCTTCCATGATCGCACTAAGCATATTGAGATCGATTCCCACTTCATACGACAGCATGTTACTAGTGGCCATGTTCGTCTTCTCTTTGTTACCTCTACTGATCAGACCACTAACCTCTTCACCAAAGCTCATCTTCCAGGACGCTTCTCTGATCTCCTCTCCAAGCTCAAGTTGATATCTGACTTACCACATTGAGCTTGAGGGGGGGTGTTAGTTGTATATTATTATAGCTATATCTTATCTATTTGTATTGTATCTCTATCTCTATCTTCTTCTATACTTATCTCTATCTTCTTGTATCTCTATCTTTTTCTATACCTATCTAGGTTTCCTTTATGCCTATATATACAGGCTTCTCCTATTGTATTATTTATTCAATTCAATAGCTCTGTTTGGTAGAGC